AAGAGTAGTAGAATGAGTTTTGGGATGGATTTTGTAAGTATGCCTATACTGTGTGTGAGAAACAACTTGTTAAAATGACAACTTTTGTGAATGAAAAATGAAAATTTCTTCATTTCACAAAAAATTGTGACAAAAAAATAACAACTTCAAAAAACTCACCATGCCTCTTACTTAATACCTTGGACCGTGTACTTTAAAAAAAAAAAAAAAAAAAAAAAAAAAAAAAAAGGGTCATTTGGGGGGTATTAGTACTGTCTGGGCATTTTAGGGCCTAAAAAAAATTAGAAAAGCAGTCAGCACATTTGGGTTGATCAATTTTAAACTATATCTACTCTAGTTTGTAGATTTTGTAACTTTCATCAAGGAAATTTTGCTCCAACTTTATGTATCAAGTTTATTTATTTGAAAAGTTTTATAAAGGAAACTAAAAAAAGTTTTGTTTTAAAACGATCTGTCTTTTTCCCTTTATATAGCAAAAAAAAAAAAAAAAAAAACCCCCAAAAAGCTCTGTCTGTCTAAAAAAAAAAAAATTTAATAATTTTGGGTACAGTTTGGCATGACTGAGTAATAGTCATTCAAAGTGCTGAAAAATTAAAAAATTATCTGGGCAGGATAAGAGTGAAACAATCTGGTCTTAAAGTAGTTAAATATCATGCTTGAGGGATGCCTTAAACCTACAAGTGAAGTGGCGTATCTGTAGAATGTACTCCAGAAAAAAGTGACATCTAAAAACAAAAGCTTCTATCACTAAATTACAGTTCCTTCTCTGTTGGTTTCTGTTTTCAAACAAAGTGGCTATGAATGCCTGATGATGTCATTGACCACTTATGGCCATATGTGGTCAATGATATTAGCCAATGCTAGCCAGCATCCCTGGTAGCATTGTTTTTTTTTTAGAAGCTAGCCAGGGGACTGTCATTTGTGGCAGGAATATAACAGGATAGGATCATCATGGTGTGGGTCTTCATGCCTATAGGTGACTAGGGCTATGGATGCTGGATCAATAATACACTTAATATTGTTATTTTAATAAAATCTATCTTTGCTACAGTTTGTGCCTAATTATTTATGTTATTTAAATTGGGGCATGACTGGATATCTGGGGGCCCCCTTATCTTAAAGGGGCTTCCACATTCCAATAATTCCCCCTGCAGACTCCCACATCAGGCCCGGAATATATTGACTAGACCATTATACCTATTAATATGGGGACAAGGGATTTAACCAGAGGGGCCCACTATGTTGGCATCACACGTGGATGGGGTAAGTGCATGCATTATTCAGTAGCTTGGAGTGAGTGGTGTACTCCTCCTGCACAATAATGAGCCTTATCCTTACCACTGGGCATAGCACTGCAATTGTGAGTAATTTTCCATTATTATTATTCAGGATTTATATAGCACCAAGAGTATGCACAGAACTTTACAAACTGGAGGGTGACACTACAGTTACAGTAATATTTAATAGAGAGGGTCCTGCGTGTTACAATCCAAAATGGAGGATCAAGTGATAGAAAAAGGTAGTAACTGAGCTGATGGAGAAAGTAAGAGTTCTGTTTATTAGTTAGAGGCAGGATAGACCTCTCTGATGGGTGGGTTTTCAGAGATTTATTAAAGGCGGTCAGAGGTTTTATCTATTTTTTATCCATTTCCCTTCTGGAGAAATGTTTTCATTTTTTAGCATACATTAAAAAAATCTGCATTTTATGGCTGTAAAATTACTTAAACCCCTCAGAACAACAAAATCCCTGTGAAATAAAAAAGACAGTGGCTGCAAAGTTTTTATATTTGCACAAAATTTGTGCAACTGTTTATCAAATCTCAAATTTTAGGAAAAAAATAAGCTAAAAATAACTTTATTGCACATAAACATAATTTAATACCATTTTTTGTACAAAATAAAATATGAGTTAATGTAAAACAAATAACAAATATGTCAACCCTCAGAACTGTGTGCACCTGAAAAACAGTGAAAAATTATGGTACCCCAAATTATCAATCAACAATAGATATATAATATAAAGAATATTGTTGCGCCTTCTCTTTAAATACTGTTATACCTTGTATACATTGTGCACATCCAAATATAAATGTAACTTGTCATTCAACCACCATATATGTAATAATGCAATTAAATTAAACAGTTCTTTCACTTTTTAAAGTCTCTTGTGCTCTTCAAATGCATGTATGAACTATAAGCAAATGAATAGGACACATATATATTTGCAATGTCCAATATAACTTTATTTTTTTTTTTGCCAAAACCTGTAACGTCTCATTGTGTCCTAGTGTTCATTTTTTTCTTTGCTTTGAAAAAACATTCCTTTTATATTTTTTTGAACATTATATATATATATAAAAAAAAAATTTTCTAAAACGTAAAAATTGTACAATCTGTTGTACATATAGAAATTATTTTATTTGAAACATATTTATAAAAAAAAAAGGTCACATTTTGCAAAATCATAAGCTATGGTATGTGAAACCCTCCTGGGGTGATTCCTGTTGATTTGAAGATTTTATACAAAGTGCTCTTCCTGACCTATACATGGAGCATGTGGAAAAGTGTAAGGTGGACCCCTATTTGCTACATCTGGTACAAGAAAACATGACACTGATGGGCCAACTGGAGCGGCAATGTGAGGTGGTATTGGCTTCAGCTGTTGAAGTGGCTGTCTGTAGAAGTAAGGATTGCCAGCCCTGTAAGCATGCTGTATAGACAAATAAAATTAAATAAAATTGTATAAAGTGAGCGCTCCTAAATAAGCAGCTAAAGCACTAAAGGTAATCACAGTATACCTATAAAATGACAAGTAAAACAAAGTGCAGCGCTGAAATGTATAAAATACAAAAGGAAATAGTCCGTGATTAATATATTAATTTATATGAACGAGTCCCAAGGATAGCTGATGAAAACAGGAACCAATGGTAAAAGTGCGCACTCACTGGACGCGCATGGATAATGCGCATATAATTAATATCCACTGGAATCTTTATAGTAGATGAAGAGGGTAAACTTCCATCTGTAGATCATTCAAGTTATATGTCCAAAATAGTAATGAATACAGGGTAGTATATAGCTGTATTGACTAAGTGATTAAATGCAGAGTATGCAATACAGCTATATACTACCCTGTATTCATTACTATTTTGGACATTATAACTTGATATATATATACTACACTATGGGCACCTGTTTTTTTTGGCTCCTATTTGGAGTTAAATCAACTTGCAGGACACCTGTAGTCTGATCCCCCACCACCAGAGGGACGGAGCTTTGGATCCTGGCTGAGCACCATACCATCCTTAAGGGACCTCCGGATCTACCATATATTCTCCCAGGCTGAATGATCTACAGATGGAAGTTTACCCTCTTCATCTACTATAAAGATTCCAGTGGATATTAATTATATGCGCATTATCCATGCGCATCCAGTGAGTGCGCACTTTTACCATTGGGTCCTGTTTTCATCAGCTATCCTCGGGACTCGTTCATATAAAATTTAATATATTAATCACGGACTATTTCCTTTTGTATTTTATACATTTCAGCGCTGCACTTTGTTTTACATGCTGTATAGACAGCTGGTAATATGTTGGCGGGTTATAAGGGGCATAAGTGGCCATCAGTGTTGGCTGCTGTGGGGTAATGGCTGGCTGGGCAATAGATAGGACACTGGGGATAAAAAATGTAATGCGTTGCATCACTGCAATCTTCATTTAAATTTTTTGCTCATCAGGGACCTGATCAAAATATGAGACGAGTGTATTTGAAAACAGTTGCAATATTGTCAGTTGACCTTTCAACAGAACAGCCAGCCCATTTAGTAAAGCCAAGAGTTTGTCACTCTTTTTTTCAGATGCCTGTTTTGGTCCACCTCCCCTCTTAGATGTCGGACAACTGGGCAATGGTGCCTCCTGTTCCTCTTCCAAATCCTCCTCTGCCATTTGTGAATGAGGAGACCTTGTAGTTCAAGTCTCCTGTGTTTGGGCTGAGTGGTCTTTGGCATCAGGATCATTGTTCCAGCAGCTGTCTGTACTGCAAAATCCAACAAAAACCAAGAATTAATTGGATTTATTTTAATAATTAAAAAGATATACAGATGAAAAACAACCTTTCATTCTTGCTTACCTTCTCATTTCCAGGATGGGTTTTAAAAATCCAAGATTTTTGGAGTACAAGTACGGTCTGAAGTACTTTGCATTCGAACCACTTCTCACATTATGTTCCTTTTCAAATGACTATTATAACTGTCTTAGCCATTCTGCCATCTGGTTTGAAAAGATTTTACTGCAAAACATAAAAGAAAACTTTTTCTTTTCAGATATTATGCAACAGGACATTCAATTTTGAGGTTTTGACTGGGAAATCGACTTCAAGCTATATTGTCCAGACCACCTGCTCTGCTATTTGACAAGTACTTAAAGATGTGGTCTTCCAGGAGCCAACAGCGGAAGGATGGTCAAAGATAGCTGATGTCTTCTGGCAGCGCTGTCATTTTCCCAATTGCATGGGTGCAATAGATGGGAAACATATCCACATACTGAAGCCAGTAGCTAGTGGAAGCAGCTTTTTCAACTACAAAAAATGTTTTTCTTTTGTGCTTTTTGCAGTGCCAGACTCCAATTATTGTTTTATTTATATTGATATAGGGTCCTATGGCAGAAGTTCAAACTCAAGTATATTTGCACAGTCTACTTTTGGGCAGCTGCTGGAACAAAATAGCCTGGCCCTACCAGACAACAGTCCGCTTCCAAGAAAAAGTGGTCCTGCTATGCCATATATCTTTGTGGGAGATAAAGTATTCAAGCTAGGTGAACACCTTCTAATGCCCTTTTATAGCCACTCTTTAACTACTAGCCTACAGGGCACTTATACCCCCTTCCTGCCCAGGCCAGTTTTCAGCTGATGAGGAGGCACTAGTAGGTGCCACTGATGGGCATTGACAGACGTCACTGATGTGCACTGAAAGGTAGCACTCATATATGGCACTCATAGGTGGCACTGACTGGCATTGTTAGGTGGCACTGACTGGTACTCTTAGGCGGCACTGAAGCACACTGATAGGTGGCACTGACTGGCACTGATAGGTGACACTGGCTGGCACTGATAGGTGGCACTGACTGGCATTGATAGGTGGCACTGACTGGCACTGATAGGTGACACTGAAAGGCAGCTCAGATGGGCACTGATATGTGAAATTGATGTGCACTGGTAGGCACTAATATGTGGCATTGATGAGGCACTGATGGGCACTGGCACGTGGCATTGATGAGCACTGACAGCTGACATTGATGGGCACTGACAGGTGGCACTTCTGGGCCACACTGATCAACAAGGCACACTGATCATCATGTCCCCTCCAAGGAATGACGATTACCGGCTCTCCTTTCCTCTCAAGCTGTCAGTGTGACAGCTCATGAGGAGAGAAATGCCGACAACTGGCATTTCCCTATTTACATGCGATCAGCTGTGATTGGACACAGCTGATCACATGACCAAGCCGACATCTTCCGCTCTTTCCATTGATCGGTGATCAGCTGTGTCCGAGGGACGTAGCGCACCGCCGATCGCAGCGCTGCGCTCTCCCAGTGGTTAGAGTGGGAGGATGTCATATGACGTCCTCCCAGAACAAGAGAACTGCCTTGCGCCTGTCATTACCGCGGGCGGGAGGCGGTTAAACAACGAAAAAAAGAAAGTGTTTCATTTTCACCTCACTAGGGCCAGGAAAGTGGTAGAGTGTGTTTTTTTGGCATACTTGCAAACAAATGGCATTTGCTGCACACTCCGATACATCTTCATATGAAACATGCTGCACAGGTTGTCAAAGTACCTTGTGCTCTACACAATTTTATTCAGGAACATGACGGCTTTCAGTTTGAGGACACATTTGGCAATAATACCGTGCCAACAGCTGAACTGACAGCAACTCGGGGCAGCAGGAGTGGTGCCGCTATCCAGGATACTTTCAGTTCATACTGTATTTCATGTCTCCTGAAGGTCAGCTGCCATGGCAGCTTGATGCAGTTGCATAGAGAGAAAAAAGGAAACAGATAATCTTTACATTGTGAATGCATATTTAATTTGAATAATATGTTTGCTAACTATGTAAGGCTGTGTGCTTCTTGTTTAAAAAAATAAAAATGTTTATCTGAACTGAAGATAATAAAGAAAAAAAACAGCTTAATTTGGACTGATCTGCATACTCAAGGGATTCTAACCAATCCCCAGGCAGGAGGCTTGCCATGGGGTCAGAACAGCCCTTAAATATGAGAGAGCCTGACCAGGAAGTAGTAAATGTCAGTGGAAGATGATGTAAGAATGCTGGATTGTGGAGCCTGGGAGGGGGCCCAGAGAGGGAGACCCCTTAATAAAAACAAAGGAAAAAGCTCAAGGAATGTTTATGGTCTCCAGTGTACAAGGGCTGAAGAAAATTATTGTTGCCTGGCTGTGCAGGACTATAGGGGGGCCCAAAAACTCAGCAGCTCCTAAAGGGGTAGTGCTACAGGTACTAAATATATTTGCAGACATAGCAATGGATGTTCAAACTGTGTGCCTTCAGCTGTTGTGGAACTACAAGTCCCATGATCCATTGCAAATCTGCAGGGCCACAGGTTGAACCCCCATTATGCAGGGATCTCCTAACTTTCTAAACAAAGGGACATTTTACTCTTCATCACTTTTGGAGGCTACAATTACTTGGAAGTGACACCAGTGACACAAAAAGTGTACAATGGAACTTCTGCACATGCATTGGCGTAGCCACTTACAATTTAAGTCTTGATGCTTCTTTGAGAATGAATCCCACTCAGGATAAATCTCCTCTGCAATTTCCAGCCACCCCTGGTCTTTTTTTCCTTCGATCCTTGTCCTGTGGATCAGCAGGACCATAGAGGTATAGTCTGGGTCTCACCAGGCTGATCAGAACCTCAGTCTTGACCATGTTTCTTGCTGCAAGGACTTGAACTTTCTGTTTCTTAGGGCAAACCGGGATTTTTCTTTAAAGGAGAAGTGTTTGGGGAAATGTAGTTGTAAAAGACGTGAAACACAAAAAGTGTAAAAAATGCATCAAAAAAAGCATTGCTTGCATTTTGGACGCAGTTCCATTGAAGACTATGGAGCCAGAAATCCAAATTGCTGCGGGAAAAAAAAAGACCTGACCCTTACAGAAACACAGAGGCTGAAAAAAGCATAGATGTGAACATGTCCCATAGGGAACCATGTTAAATGGACTGCAGTGCATTTCTGCAAAATGCACCGAAAAATGCATTTGTGTGAACAGGGTCTAAGTTTTTCAATTTCCAACTATTTTGGAAGTTATAGCCATGTGAATTATATATTACCTTTTTTGTTCAGGTTTGTATTATATCTTGGTGGATTCCATGGCACTAAACCTCATCGTATTTGGTTGTTTGACTGTTTTGGATTGTACGTTTTGTACTGACTTCTTAATATGGTGGTTTATATTGTATTTAATGATACCTCTTATAAAAACATTGTAAACAAATGTGCTTGTTTACATTTAGCAGTTAGCCAGAAACTGACATTTGCATTACAAGTTGAGAATGGCCAGCAGTGTTGTGTCAGGAGGTCATCAGGGCATCACTTGTCATGATTAATTCTGTATCTACATTGCGGGACAATGTGATTGGCGCTGAATTTACATCAGAGAACCGAAAAAGGGAGGGAAAAAAGCATGCACATCATCCTCCTGAACCTTACCAGGTCCCATGCTCTCAAAATCAGGAAGGTACCTCACAGAGGGGGTGCAAACCTCCTTCTCTTTGCAACATATCTTGTCCCCATGTTGATGATATCCCTTTATATTTCTCCTTAGGTGGGGAAACCGAGTCCTTCTTGTGTCTGGTCATGCAGCCTTAGACAGCAGGTGGAGAATGCTTTTTCTGGTTGCCCATCCAAAAGAGTTCTGTCCATTGTGATGTGCAGAGATGTGTCACACATATGTTATGACTTCCAGTGCATCTGTGTGCTACAACAGCAAGATGAAGCAGAATTGTAGGAGTGTACTCGGAGCTACAGTGAAATATATGTTCACATTGCCTTCCTAGACATGCCCCTATTCACACAACTTTAGTAGCAAACACAACTTGTTAACCATTTTCATTCCTTGCCGTGGGACAATACTTTCCTACTAAATTTGTTTATCCCTTTCCACAGACAGAAACTAGCCAGGGTTCAGGTGCCACAAGTGGGCTTATTGTTAGTTGCCACATCGAAATTTACTTTTCAGTGTGGTGTTTATATTTTCTGGCTTTCTCCCAAGTGTCCAAGTTTTCTTACCACCATAATGGCAAACTTGCACTCTTTCAAAATATTACCCTGAAAGCATGCAAGTCACTCTCTAGCAGCACCCCATCTTGTACTATGTGCATCCTTTAGCAACATCTGCCTACTAGGGGCATATTTTTTAATTTAAGATGCATGGGCAGAGAGCAGTGTTCATGGTGGGTTCATGTGACAGTTGATACAAGAAGTGCTCTGGATTCATCTGTCCCACCCTTTTCCATGAGAAAGGTTGTGCTTGTAGCACTGTGTGATGTGTATACACACAGGGCCTGAGGCTGGGGTGAGAATAGCAGACAGTGGACTTGACATAATGTGCATATACATTATTCTTGCACATTATGCAAAAATTAACTCTGTTTTAGCAATGACAGTTGCAAGCTCTCCATCACTATTCAGTTGTCACTGCTGCTATCTACTCACTTGCTACTTTCACTGTGAATGTAAGGGGGATACTGATTGGCTGACTGCTGGTGCCAAATTACTCAAGCTCCTGCCCTGCTTATTCTTGGAGAGGACAACAATCCGCTTATATAGCCCAAAACCTCTGTTATAGTGTTCCCAATTCAATGCCATAGGCCTTCCCATGACATCCATGACTATTATCCTTTATATGAGAGTATAAAAAATACAGTGATCGCTCCAATGGTCAGCAGCTGAACATTCAAGGAAAACACATAAAAGTCCCAAAAATATATATATAAAGAGAATGCAGCGCTGTGTGATGTTACTATATTGCGGGCAGAAAAAAATAATAAATGAAACCAAAGCAAATGAATAAATCAATAATAAATAAATCACAGTCCAGTAATGGTGCTCGCTGATTCCCAGTGCAAAAGTTATAAATGCGCACTAACCAGAAACGTATTAATAATACGCATGTGTATATGATATCATGGAGATTCCCCTTTCTTTTATGGTCTGGTAATGGGCAGGAGCTGAAGATAGTAGAGATGAAGCGCCCTCATGTGGCGAAATGGAGGTCCAGCAGGTCACAGAAATCCTTACAGAAGTGTGTGAAGTGGAAAATTCCTCCTCTCAAAGGCTGGTGCAGGGATCAATCTGGGTCTGCAGAAGCCTTTAAGATTAAAGATGGCCACCGGGCCTCCATGTGGCACCGGCGGCGTAGTGTCAATGGCGTCACTGTCATATATATAGACAGTGATCTGGTTATGGTGATCCTCAGCTCTACCTCTGAAGAAGTGCGTGCGCACGAAACGCGTTAGGTGGAACCCAGGACGCCATTGACACTACGCCACCGGTGCCACGTGGAGGCCCGGTGGCCATCTTTAATACACATGCCTATTATTAATACGTTTCTGGTTAGTGCGCATTTCTAACTTTTGCACTGGGAATCAGCGAGCACCATTACTGGACTGTGATTTATTTATTTATTGGTTTATTTATTGATTTATTCATTTGCTTTGGTTTCATTTATTATTTATATCTGCCCGCAATATAGTAACATCACACAACGCTGCATTTTCTTTATATATTTTATCCTTTATAACTTTATGTAGGCATTCCTTTCTTCTGAATATAGTTTCCACACTTTACTGTTGTTCTTAAGATAGAAGTGGCACGTCACATCACAGACATACTAACCGGTGTCACTTGGCATACTTCATCGGTCACATACAGCGGATGACCTGCAGCAGGCAATTGTGAATTTCACATATTGCACATCAGTGTTAAGCCATCTCTCCTTAATGTTCCTCTTCTCTCCTTGGGAGCACCACTGTGTTGGAACCCAGCTCCCTAACATCTCTCTATCGCTCCGCAGGGTCATCAGTAATCAGTCAGAGGGCACTGACTTGCTCAGTAGGCTTTGTGCATCCAGCTTGCGACTTCCTTCATGTTGTTCCATTGACAGGATAGCTGAAGCTGCACCTCTGCATGTACACCTTACCCAAGTGTCACTAGAAGTCCCAGGGGTATTAGCAGGGGCGGACAGGCAACTCATGGGGCCCCTGGGCAATAGCGGATCATGGGGCCCCTGTGTCCTTGCCCACACTCAAACCACACCCAAAAAAGCTTATGAAAAGATACCAGGGGCATCTCATGGGGCCCTCTACTGACCCTGGACCCTTGGTCAGTGCATGAATGGTCAGTCCACCCCTGGGTATTAGTACTCATGACAGATATCATTTGGCCTGGCTTTTAGGCTTTTTGCATTCCACTCCTGGTCCAGTAATACCATGTTCCCAGTCCTCATAGACCATGTTTAGTGAGACAGGATTACT